CTTCATTATTGAAGGTTTCGATAATCCGTTGACGTGTGTATAACCTCCCATTAATTTTGAGCATTTTGCGTGTAATACGAATACGACATGATTTAGAAAGTTTCTTAATTTCTCTTCAAAAATTATTTAAAAGTTTAAAGTTTTCCAAATTTCGTGGTATTACACACCAACCAAAATGCTCAAAATTAATAGGAGTTTACATATCTGTACATCGATTTGCAAAAAAAAGTCGTCAATAAATATCTTTTAACATTTTGCCCCATTTCCCAATATTTCCCAACGCTTGTGAACATTTTGAACGTCCAAAATTGTCTGACACAGCTTTTGAACTGTGACCAGTCCAAAAGTATGTAGTTCTGTGCGTCTAAAACGAAGCACTGTTTAGAAGAATATCACCGTGAATACAGTTCCAATTTTATCTCTGATATGAGGATATGATGAAGAATTGGGTAACCATTCGGGGGTCATATTATGTATGAGAGAGCATTTAAAAGCTAGTTGATCATGATGTCGTCGCGGTAAATTTAGAACCAGGAAGACCAACGAACCAACAAACATGGTCACAATTTGTCTGGTGAGATTGGCACAGTTCGTCATCGTCGTCGCCTTTTTCCTCGAGTGAGTGGGGAGGCCGGATTTGAGGGAGATATTTGCCCAAAGCTTACACCAAACCATGGAACCTATTGTCAAGTTGCTCTTGGTCTAAAATTGAAGTATTTGTGCACCCGTAATGGGAAAGTGAGGAGAAGAAAGGGCAGAAAGTGGATGCGTTGATCTGATAAAGAAAAGCAAATAGCACCACCAAATACTACCAAATATTGCTATTATTCTGCCAAGTTGGAGAGACTCAAACCCGATCAACTTTCTCTCCCCCACCGACAAATGCAACAAATCAACCAACAACGACGAAGGCATAATCATCCACTCTTCTCACGGATTCTTAATCGTCCCACAACCACCTTGTTATTTTCTTCGCCCTTTTCCTTCATCTGCACTCAGTGTTTCGTTTGCTGCATTTCTTGCACTGGAAAGAAAGCCACGCACGAAACTGCAAAAAGTGCAAGACATTCAGCCACGAAGTATGCGCTTCGGAGAGTAGTTTCTTGCGCCTTGAATTTCTTGCTGGTCCAAATATTTACCGCAACATACCACTTTCTTGCAAGTGGTTACTTGCACCTGAAACACTGGTCACACCACACTTAACAGAAACCATTTAACCCTTCGTGGCGTCGACCTGGTTGATTACTACTATGTGGGGTGACCAGACTACTCATTAATAGAGACAGCCAGGCCAGCGGCGGTAGCGCATTTAAGGCTAATTGCCGTTTTAGTCAGGTGTTGTATTCTGGCATGGTTGATTACTATGCCAGAATACAACACCTGACTAAAACGGATGCCACCATAAATCAGCACTCATTTCATGTCACTTTTTTTTTACTTTCTCCAATCTGTCTCATCCAATAAATTATGTATGCGTCGTGTTGCTTACACATGTAGATTTTTCGCCAGTCTCGTAAATCATCTTTGTATAAATACATCCGTATTATGTAAAAAATTATGAGAAATGTCGTTGTCGTAATTTATGGAGTTTGTCGACAAGACTTAAAATATAATTAAGCAAGTGTCACACGAAATAATCTCTTCTCCAGGAAAAGTTGCACCTGGTTTTTTCTGTCTGGTTGCAAAAGTGCATAGCTCATTAAATACGTAAATATTATTACGTAACTATATTTTGGATCGATGCATTCAATCAGGTGACGCTCACTCACTCTTCTTCACGCTCCAATAGGCAAGCCAAACAGTGATCTAAATAAACTATTGAATAACTCAGGATCGTCATGATGACATAATGAACGAGCCGAAGGACACACATTTCACTCAACTTTCACCTTTCGCAGGGAAAAGTAGTATCATTTGATCCAGTGCAGCTTGTGGTGATGATCCACTAATAGCTCCCTTTCACCCAGAGAGTTGGACCATGTATTCATATGCATGCCAGACTCCCAGTTTGAGATGCAGTCATCCATCCATGAAATTATTTTATACGTGCGTAGTGGCTCAGGTGAAGTCAAACTTAGGAGAAAACCAACCAATTCAAATCCAACCATGGTTCACTTTGATGATTTGTTGGCGTAGAGTCGTAGTCCGTCGCAGTGTTTACCATTTCTTGCACTGCAAAGCAAGCAACGCAAGAAATGCGAGGTGCAAGAAATTGCAAGAAAATGCACGAAATATGCACATCTAGCCACGCGTCATATGAACTATAGCTGCGAGAAGTGGTTTCTTGCGCCGTGCATTTTTGGCAGGTCGAAATACCTGCAAGAAACCACCTTCTTGCCGTCATTTCTTGCAAGTGGTTATCCACTTGGACCCGAAACACTGGTCGGTCGGTTTTGAATTTTGGATGGGTTGCAGGAGGAGGGAAGGATCAGAGAAAAAGAGTTGTTTGGTCGGTTGGTTGGTCGGATTATTATGAAAGAAGGAGAGAGCAAGTTCGGTGAAGCGGGCAAATTAGAGGGATGGATGGATGGTAAAAAGAAGATGATGGTGATGGCGAATAATTAGGCAAAGTGAATTAACTCCTCTTCAGCCACACTTACTTTCTACGGAACTTTTCCCTTTCATCCCTCCAACAAAGCTTGCTTTTTCACCAGCATTTTGTGCAGGATTTTGTTTAGCAGTGGACGAAAGAATTTGACTGACTTCATCTCTTCCCCGTGAAAAGGTTTTGTTTCATGTGAAAAATAACATGTTTTTAGAGTTTGACAAAATAGGGGTGAGATCATCTATCATTCAGTCAGCGCAGATTTATGGCTGCATCCGGATAAAGAGATAAATTAGGGAGGCAGCAGCAGCAGTGTCAACATGCATAAAAACATGCTCACTTGGGAGTTCATTAATTTATATGAAGTTGAAGGGACGAAATGGAAATATGGACCAAATTCAGGCCGAGTTTGGCCTTATACCAGAAGTAAAACATAATCCTATCCACCAACCAACTGATAATTGGGGTCTCCCAGTGTATGCTCCCTGATTTTTAGCAAAATAGTTTCAACCGATCAGAACTTAAATTGGTATGAAATTTGCAAAAGACGCGATCTCTCAATGGTCACGGTGATCAGAGATGTTTGCATCCGAAAAGGAGAAAGTTCGCTTTGACAGTTGACAAATTTTATACGTTTCAAATTTACTGTGCGTCTTCTCCTCTTCGGATGCAAATATCTCGGCCAATCGTGCCATTGCGAGATCGAGTCTTTCCCAAATTTCATATCAATTAAATTTGTGACCGACTGACACTGGTTTGCTCAAAATCGGAGAGCATACGCTGGGAGACCTCCATTGAAACACACATACAAACCATGATAAGGACACGATTTGATAATTGTGGTGGTGAACTTGTGCCTCAAAACATGAAACCGGGAGCCAAGGGACACCACCACCACGATTCCAAACATAGCTCCACTAACGAGATGGATCTCTATAAAAGAGAGAAAGCGTTCAAGTGCAGATTGACATACGCATCGAGACGGACGGGACGTGTGGGGCTTGGCTGGCTGGTAAAAAGAGGAGGCGGAGGGGATCGAAAAATGTGAAATCCATTACAAGAAAACAAATAGCCGTGAGTGATGTGAGAGATAAGTAAATATTGAGGAGACACGATAATAGTTTAAGCCTTTTATTCCGATTTTCTCCCAACCCGACCCTCACTCACTCCATCTCATCTCTCTCTCTCAGGATAAATCTGTCTTTTCACTTTCCTTCCACCGAAAAAAAGACAAATCAAACCAGCCAGTCTCAACCTACCTCATAAATAAAAAAGACCAACTCATACGATACGATACCTTCTTTTACCACGGGAAAGTCGCTCAACTTCCGGTCCAATTCCGGACAAGGTGTGTACTTTTACCCACCGGAAATTGGGGTAAATCATGTTTCGTATTTACCGTATATCATCCTCCGTGAGACAATGCGCTCCCTTTTCCGTCGGCTTTTTTGACCATTCATTCATGCCAGCAAAACATGTTCAAGTAATTATTTCTCGACAAGTATTGTTCCCTCTGCTCAAGTTAGTATTATGTTAATTTGGTGGAATCACTCATTCATCTCGTAACGTCTTCTTCTTCTCGGTAATGATGAGGTAAAGGTGGACGTTTTTCGGCCCGTTCCTCTCCTTTGAGACCGCATGTTTTGACAGAGAGCTTAATTTGCTTGGGTGAACAAGTGTGAGGTAAAGGTTTTGGGTTACGCAGTGCGACGGCTGAAAGGGATCCCTGGTCGATACCCTTGTCGGGCTGAGGGCTCAATTACATGGGTCACTCGTTCTAAATCCAACCATGAAATGAATCCCATGTCCACATGTATGTCATGTTTAACGCAAATGAGACGTGGCGGCCCTGTTTGTGGGCCATTGTTCTTTTGAGGATTTGAATACATACGTAAACGTATTTAAGTAAGATGAGCATTTTCAAGTGCAGGCAAGCAAATATTCACCTTATTTACAAATGTTTTGATGATGAAATAAATTGAAACTCAATGGTCAAGAAGGACGACGACGACGAGCCTCCTCCTTCACTCGTCTCGTTGGTGGAAATAATGACGTGGACAAATATTATTCACTCGACACTACATTGTTGAGTTGTCGAGTGTGTTTACTTACTCGCTATTTCATTTCATTCCGATTTGGACACATTGTGAATATACATGTTGTGTGTAGTTGTGGTTGTGGTTTTGGTTGGCTTGATTTGGTTTGGCCATTGTTTGCTGTCAACACGGCAGGCTTGGATAAGTTTAAGTACTTTTGTGGCAAAGGTGAGTGTAACGTGGTGGAATTGAAAATTGGGAAAATTTGAATAAGAGAGAAGGAACAATGACTGGTCTAAGTTGTCTCGAAAGGTGTGAATCGTGATGGTCATGGTCCATCTCGGTCATGATGTTTTAGTATTTGCTGCTGTTAGAAAATGATGTATTGCAAATTAGGTGCAAATTAGTTGCCAATAATATGAAATGCACTGTCTACTTTTTATTATTTTCAACTACTAGGATAACTTCCATCTTAGTTAGATGACGTACATGTTTGAAATTTCACTGTTCATGTTTCTACATCTTTTACTATATATGCCAAATTATTACCTCTCCAAGTCCAAAGTTGGGTTAGAAGCGTAAGAAATTCTGCGTGTTGAACGTCTTCTCTCCCAAAAACTCCTTAAAAGTGTCCCTGTCACAATGCATACATAAAATAATTGATTATCCACCCTTTTAATTGATTAAGATTTGTCACAAATTGGCTTACCAGGCATCCTTGGAGCACACATTGTACAATTCGGGTTTCGGAAACCCGTTGAAATTTTCACTCGCCACGAGAGTGTATGCGCCCATCCCCCTGTAAAGCAGCCAGTCGCCGGCTTGACATAGCTCAAGTTCCGCATATTCGTCCTCCTCGTTGGCTGCACTCTCGCAAACGGTCGCAGCGGGGTAAATGCGATCCAAAGAGTCGCACGTCGGACCCCAAATTGCCGTTTCGAACTTTGGTTCGCCCTCTTTTATCTCCTGTAAGTGGTCAAAATTACGGGGTTTAAAATCTCAAACTTCTTATTGCAGACGTTTTTAATGCAGGGCTCAATAACTCATCGCTAAAATCGTCAAGATCAGTACATTTTTAATCATTCTCGGCTCTGGGAATTTATTTTACAATTCTGGGCGACAAATTTGTAGTCATTAAGTTGATTAACAGAATGGCGATGAGGTTTTTAAGCGAGTTACAATTTTTCTGAAGGCTTCTTAACATGAGATCTCCTCCTTCAAAAACTGACAAAATCTGGAGTGTGTATTTTTTTTAATTGGCAGCGACTTTCTCTACAAAGTCGTCCAGAATTTTGAAATAAATTCCCAGAGCCGAGAAATGATTAAAAATGTGCTGATTGCGACGATGAGTCATCGAATCCTACATTCAGTTTACAATTTTTATAAGTCATGTTTAGCTTTAAATCCAGCAATGTCCCATTACTTTGCACTTCTCATACTCCTCCCAGATTTGCATTTATTCCAAATTTACGTACCCTCAAGAGCTCGGGAACTGGTTTCTTATGGTCGTACATGATATTGTTGAAGCTGCCGTAAACCCCGTCGTTGATGTAGTACATGTATTTCTTGTGGTCATCCTTCATATGTTTCTCTTTCAAAGTGTGGATAAAGCCACAGGCGGCGAACGCCGTGCCCGCAAAGTATCGCCCAGGCTCGGCGAAAACGGTGACGCCCATTTCTGGCGGAAAATATTTGTTGAGCGAGCATCTCACCACTTTAGAAATTTGGGTGAAGAGTTTCGTCTCCTTGCAGTTCGCCTTGGCTGGAAATCCGCCGCCGATGTCTAAAATATGGAATTTAAGTCCGATCTCTTTCGCCCATTTGAATACGCATTTTGAGTCGCGAATCGCTTTTTCAAAAATTCTTGGGTTTGCGGCACCCGAGCCGACGTGGAAGGCTACGCCGACAACGTCAAGTTCCAGTTCCTTCGCTTTTTTGAGGAGCGGCTTGACTTCGGTGAGGACGCAGGCGCCAAATTTTGCTCCTAAAGGGCTACTCGCGGCCTCATCGTCTTCCTTGATGCGAATCAGTGGCCTATGACAGGAATATATAAAGGGTGACATTATGCCAGGCAGGGTTGCAGTTGTTTTTATTTTCAAAGGGTCAATAGATTCAATATTATACGAAATGAGAACATGAGGCAACATGAGATTCTGGGAATGGAGGTTTCCCAGCGTATGCTATCAGATTTTGGGTACTGTTGATGGGGCTCTAAGAGTGGAAAGTTTTGACACCACATGGTAGCATTAATTTTGCGACGTCACCGGCAAAAAATAAAAATTTTCTAAAAATGGTGTAAAATGAAAGACTAATGTGAGTATAGGTCAGGAAAATTGTTTTTACCGTCCTGTGACCTCTGGGTCACCAGTTAAGGGCGTCTACTGTTTTGGAGTATATTAGCCGAATAGCCGAATAGCCGAATTATCCGACTTATTTTATTATTTAACACCACTTATTTATATTTTGGCGTACAAATCATACGAAACTGAATAAGTTGAACGCCAAAATAAAAGTAACTGGGGTTAAATAATAAATAGGTCGGATAATTCGGCTATTCGGCTAATATATTCCAAAACAGTAGACGCCCTTAACTGGTGACCCAGAGGTCACAGGACGGTAAAAACAATTTTCCTGACCTATACTCACATTAGTCTTTCATTTTACAGCATTTTTAGAAAATTTTTATTTTTTGCCGGTGACGTCGCAAAATTAATGCTACCATGTGGTGTCAAAACTTTCCACTCTTAGAGCCCCATCAACAGTAAACTAGTGTCAATCGATTATAAGATTAATTAGTATGAAATTTGCAAAAGACACGATCTCCCAATGCACAGGTTTGACGGAGATATTTGCATCCGAAGAGGAGAAACGGCGCAGTAAAGTTGACAAATTTTACACTCTAAATTATTTGCGCAATTTCTTATCTTCGAATGCAAATATCTCCGCCAATTCATTCATTTCCAAAATTTGTCTCACACGGTACACAAAATTCAGTATTTTTTTTACATACTTTGCATTTGGATACAGTTTCTTAATCTTCTCGAGTTCATAAGCGCAGTCGAAAGTCATCTTTTCAATCCCATGTGCCTTGGCGTACTCCAGATGAGAGTTCTGTTTACAAGGCTGTGCAAATATTATGCGGTCTTTATCTTCTTCCCCAATTATTTCCAAAATTGCTTTCATTTCCATCTGCATACGAGTAAATTTTAGCAAATCAATTAAGCACGTAATCAAGACCCAAGATTTAATGACTTTACTTCAGACGCGCAATCAAACCCTGCCCCCAGTCCGGCCAGCGCTCTCAGAAGGAATGGATGGTCATTGCATTTCACGGCTGAATCATGAACGAATTTAATTGATTACCAAATTACCCCAAGAATTAAAAGGTGACGTTGCACACTTACCATAATGCGGTTCAATGTTTGGCATGTACTTATGCCACAAGTTCCACTTGTGCAAAATATCGGTCAAATCGAAAATGAGGTAGGAATCCTCAATCTACATTATTAATTTAAATAGTTTTTTAGAAACGAAGCATTTAAAATTTACTCAGAGTTTCGCTGTGGTTTTAACCATTGCCTAAAACAGCCGTCCAAAACCGGGGACACCGAATTTTGGAAATTTCCAGTGTCCAAAATGGAAAATGGGGCAAATGTTACAAGTTCTTCATTATTGAATCTTTCGATTATCTGTCGACGTATATGTAATCTCCCATTAATTTTGAGCATTTTGGTGTGTAATTGGTAAAGGTTTTGGGACATTTCTGAATTTCTGTGAATGTGGTTTTTCCTAATTTCGTGGTATTCCACCTCATCAAAATGCTCAAAATGAATGGGAGATTACATTTAAATCTGTACATAGATTTACAAAAAAAATCCTTAATAAAGAACTTTTGCCCCATTTCCCAATGTTGGACGACTTTTTTGGACGCTTTTGGACAGTGTACAGTCCGAAATGAAACACTACAGAATGAGTAATTTACCTTTTTATCATCCCTTGCAACTTGTGCGATTTGTTTTGCGACGCATTTAAAATCGCAGTGATTCGGAATGACATGGATTTGATTATCGCCTGGATAACCGCTCGACATTTTTGCTAAGTGACAAAAGTTGATTTGGTTTTTGCAAATGCTGAAGTACGACTGAAGTTGGAACTTGTTTTTCTGGTGCCTAAATAAATATTGGGCTCTAGTTCGACTTATATAGATATCTGTCTGAGACGGATTAGTGACTGGATTTAATCCGTTTTTAATAAACAATTGGGAAGAAATCATTTCACTTGTTATGCAATACGTATTGTATCAACCATGTAATTTTTAATTAATTCAGGATTGCAATATTTAGAGAAGGAGGATAAAAGGGAAAATTGGAATATTAACATGGAGGCCTCCGAGCGTCTGCTCTCCTATTTTAAGCAAATTAATGTCCATCGATCACAAATTTAATTTGTATGAATTTGCAAAAGCTATGAATTTGCAAAAGGTATGAATTTGCAAAAGCTATGAATTTGCAAAAGCTATGAATTTGCAAAAGGTATGAAGTATGAAAAGCAAAATGAATTTGCAAAAGCTATGAATTTGCAAAAGCTATGAATTTGCAAAAGGTATGAAGTATGAAAAGCAAAATGAATTTGCAAAAGCTATGAATTTGCAAAAGGTATGAATTTGCAAAAGGTATGAATTTGCAAAAGCTAAAAATCTCCCAACGTCAAATTTTGGCAGAGATGTTTGCATCCGAAAAGGAGAAAACGATGCAAAATTTTGCATTTTTAAATTTGCTGCACGTTTTCTCCTCTTCGGATGCACATATTTCTTACCCATTGGCAGATAATGCCTTTTGCAAGTTTCATACTAATTAGATATGGGAATGATTGAGACAAATTTACTCTAAATCGCCGAGCATACCTGGGAAACCTCCATTGTAAAGTTTATAATCAATAATAACTCTTTTTATCCGGTTAATACCGAGTCAAATGAATGAAAGGGCTGTGGCATACGAGGTCAAAGTTAATCTTCTTCCAGACGAGGATCTAGAGTTACAAAATGATAACACTTTTACAAACGGGACATCGAATTAGTTTAATCTACAAGCCAATTATTGGCGAGATATTAACGTAAGATGAGGATGCATTTAGTTAGTGATTTATGACTTTGGAAAGTCTGTACTTTGAGATTATCCGTATTATGTAAATACATCGAGCTGTCTCACAATGAGGAGGTGTGAGGTGGTTATCGCCGATAACCACCGGACTAATTTTAAATTGTTCACGCTCAAAAATAAGCCCACCCATATTTTTTCGTTTTCCTGAATGGGCATGTTTACACCCTTAGCGGAATTTTCAAAAAAAATTTCAGCCAAAATTCGGATTTTTAAAAACGCTGTAACTTTTCGAATTTTAACCCGATTTCAAAAATTGAATACAATTTGTGTTCAGAATTACTTCCCTGAAAATATAAAATTTCATTTTCGAAAATTTTTTAATTTTCAAAAAATTATCGTTTTTTTCATTTCTAAAAACTCAGAAATGGCATGAAAATATTAAATTTAAAAAATTTTTGAAAATGAAATTTTATATTTTCAGGGAAGTAATTCTGAACACAAATTGTATTCAATTTTTGAAATCGGGCTAAAATTCGAAAAGTTACAGCGTTTTTAAAAATCAGGATTTTGGCTGAATTTTTTTTTTGAAAATTCCGCCACGGGCGTAAATATGCCCATTCAAGAAAACGAAAAAATACGGGTGGGCTTATTTCTGGGCCTGAACAATTTAAAATTAGTCCGGTCCACATTGGCGATAACCACCTGACACCTCTCCATTGTCAGTGTCAACTTGGTTTGAGGCCTCCTAAGGGAAGGACTGCGCGTTGACTGCGCGTTATTAACCGAGGAGTTAAGTTTATGCTTAAAAATGAATTTTTATATTTTCAGGGATGTAATTCTGAACACAAATTGGGTTTAATTTTTTAAATCGGGCTAAAATTCGAAAATTTACAGCGTTTTTAAAAATCCGAATTTTGGCTGAAATTTTTTTTGAAAATTCCTCCACGGGCGTAAACATCCCCATTCAGCAAAATGAAAAAATACGGGTCCACTTATTTTTGAGCGTGAACAATTTAAAATTAGTACGGTGGATATCGGCGATAACCACGTCACACCATCGCATTGTGAGTAAGAAGTTTACGGATTCAAGAAAAAAAACCTAATCAAATAATTCTATGTCCTCAAGAGTCATTTGATTCATAAAAACAAGAAAAACGACAAAATCATCCGTCGCAATGAGTGACGCTATTAATGGTTCCAACTATAAATAAACGTGGGTGGTGGTGGTGAAATCAGGAGTAAGTAAAAACTTGTGTCATAACGACTCGGTTGAGAAGATACAAAAGCCAGCAGTTTGTGGTCCGCAATTCGTCGTCGTCGTCGTCACAATGTGAAAGTGTGGAAGGGAAACCATTGTCAAATAAATGCTGGATGCAGATGAATGAATTGAAATGAATGGTTCGTCGTGGAGTCGAGGTGGTGATTGAGATTGACTCTCTTCTCCCACTGAAAACTGAAAAGAAGGCTCCAACCAAAAGAATGAAGACAAAAGAAACTATTTCTAAAGTCAATACGTTCGTGTCAAATCAAAAAACGAGACTAAATTTTTAGTCGCATTTCACTTTCACTCAGCCCACCGATCGGGGCAACAATGAGACAAAGGATGAAAAAGGGTTCTATTTCGGTTAAATCGAGACAGTAATTTTCCACTGCTACTGCTCCAGTGTGCATGCACGTGACATGTGGTTTCGACTTGGCCATCGTCACATTGACGACGACGACGTCAGTCACACTCTATAACAAAGAAGGAATAAATGACTCGTCGCCTTTGACTTTGATATGTCATACTCTTCACACGCACACAAAAATGAGGATGACATGGACCAACGATTTACTTACCCTTCTCTTAAAAACTTTGACAATTACGAGGAGAAAACGCGATGCGAAAGGACAAACCAATTTCTTAAGGTGCACTCTCTGTTCCCATCACAATTTAATTCTACTTTAAACTTTAAAGTTTCATTGGATTGGGGAAAGGAGGGTGACGATGTTTTTCGTGGTCCAGATGTCACATACATTGGAACGAAACAAGGACAATGTTGGGCCAGGTTGAAGTTGAGGTGGAGGAGTGAAATTGGATGGATGTCAATGAAACGAAATGAAAAGTGTCCCTTTGAAATGTGCTCCATTCCCAACTTGTCGACGACTCCTTTGCATTATTATTTTCGAGAGAGAGTAAAAGTCTCATCAGGAAAATGTGTCTTTGTCATCCTTTCAACTCAACGGTGATGATGATCAAGTCCTCTCACTTTTCACTCTAATTTGCCTACGTCGTATTCATGAATCCTTTTATTATGGGGCTAGACAGCGGTGAATTCCTCGTCACAAGGAGTGAATGAGAGAGAGAAAGTCAGTCGATTGTTTAGTATGCATGTAATCAGAGGCCTGATATGTATTTACGAAAAGTCGGTAAAATATGTAGTTAATACTTAGGAAAAAACACCAAAATATTTATGAAATATGTATGTACGAAAAAAAGAATCATAAAAATAAAGATTTTCACAAAATCTGTATTTTTGAACATAATACTCTAGATTTACTGTGGTTCAATTTCTTTAAGGAAATAAATTCGTCTCACATTGTTGAAATATTTACAAAATATGTAAAAGATTTACCTATTTTTGAAATAATAGCGGAAATATTAATATGCCTGAAAACCTAGAAACGTGCCAATATGTAAAAATATTTTAAACTTTTTGTGATCTAAAAGTTAGGCAATCACAAAGTTTGACAATTATATAGTTGTCATAAAATAGAAAGGTTGAAAATAAATGCATATCCACTCTCTGCACATAGTTGTTGTAGGCGTACAAAATTTGTAATGAAATTGCACCAATCAATTCGTCATCGCTATAAATTTAGCCACATACATATGGGTGAAAGTGTGTCGACTCAAATTAGTATTTTCATCACGTCATAATAATCTTTCCGGGCTTTATTTATCAGCCATCAAACTTATTAATTGACCAGGATCCAAAATTAGTCTCGTAATGATCAGTGACGATCTGCTCGTTACTTCCTTCCTTTCCTCCCACAACTTTGGGATTATTTGTCCCTAACAACATTACCTATTTACAACTTTCTTTGTCTTTGTCGCGACATCAGTGAATGGGAAGGCGGAACAAAGAAAAATAAATAAAAGTTGTGGTTGGTGAGCAAGTTAAGATGAGATTGTGACGTTTGCTGGGCTGCCAGTGGTGGTGGTGCTGCAATGACGATTACATAGATATTTTCTATACGGAGAAAGTAAAAACTTGGAGAGTGGTTTCCAGAAAATGCAGTTTTCCAATACCGTGTAATAGGCTTTCCGTCAAATTGTGGTCACTCACTCGTGACTGAGGGAGGCGGAGGAGGAGAGTTGAGGAGACAAATATTATTGTGTGCAATGTGGACTTAATAATAAATAGCGTACAACAAATCTGGGCTTGTGAACGAGTCCAAGTGTTGCTTTTCACCATCCGTGACATTTTCCTCCTCGTCGTCATCATAGGATCAAGTAGCACGTTGGATTAACCTCACTTTTATAGCATACTTTATTTCACAGAGATGAAAGAGATGATGCTCTTCTTCTTTGCTCAGTGACCATTTTGTCATACTTTTTTATAATCCCGTCAAAATTTCGGTGAAAAAAACCGCAGTACTTGGTACAGAATCGATCTAGAAGTAACTTATTTGTATTTCTGCCTTCATAAAGTTTGTCTTATCGTCTTGGTAAAAATTGGAAAATATTCGGATCACGTTCACATTTTATTCCATATTTTGTGTTATAAATACAAATGACAAAGTGGGCTCAACGATACAATTTTATCCTGCGTAATGAAGGGCTGATGTGGGCTGTGGCATTTGAGAATTAAATCATGCACACTCAATCCTTAGCCGTGGATGTTATGTTCACATCACTTTGCTTACACACGAATCCAATCCAACCATTGTTACCCCCTCAAGAAGACGAGTGTGTAGCTTTGTCACATGTGCAGGAAAATAGCCAGATTTCCAATTCGAGTACTTATGTATGACTGCGAATCATCATCCAATCCGGCCAATTCCACATATTATTTAATATGTTTGTATGTACATATTTCTATACTCGGAGGCTACTCAGGATACCGTCACGACGACAAATTGAAGTTATTACATTCATGCATGCATTCATTTCATTCCGAGTGATGAGGACTCACTCATGCCAACACAAATCTTGACACAATAGGTGTCAAGTAGTATTAACCAAATGCCACGCCACGCCACTATTTGATTTCATCCCTCTTCGCGTATTCAAAAACTTGAGCAGCTCAGAAAAATATACGTATTTATCAGGTATGCATACGTATCAGGGTAAGGATTGAGTGTGTATTGTGTCGTGTCATACAAAATTTACGAGTACAGGGCAACAAGTACGTATGTATGTATTATACAATTCATATCGGTGATGTAACGTGATTTTGGGTGGATTTCATGGTCCGACACCTCCATTTAAGCCATATACGCACGTAACAAACTATGATGAGAAATGTCGTCGAAATGAGAAATCCGAAATTCAATTCAAGTCATGCATGCACAATAATACATATGCGACAAGAGAGATAAATCCTCGTAGAGATTGGTAATTCTCACTTCGCTCCAAATTTGTGAGGATGGATGTAACAATGTACATGGCAGACATGTTTGTCACGGATCTTCTGAAAACCGGGACTAAAAAATCAAGTAAATAAACATAAACAATAGGAAGTTTGGGACTTGACCACTTCCGCAGAATTTGCAGATTTAGGAAGGTTTTAAGTTGGCAGAAACGCGTATTTCCATTATTGGAAAGCTGAGGCCGCATAGTTTCGCATGGTGGAAATGCGCGTTCTTGCATACTGAAAACCTTCCTAAATTCGCGGATTTAGGAAGGTTTTCAGTATGCAAGAACGCGCATTTCCACCATGCGAAACTATGCGGCCTCAGCTTTCCAATAATGGAAATACGCGTTTCTGCCAACTTAAAACCTTCCTAAATCTGCAAATTCTGCAGAAGTGGTCAAGACCCAGACTTCCTATTGTTTGTTTATTTACTTGATTTTTTAGTCCCGGTTTTCAGAAGATCCGTGACAAACATGTCTGCCATGTGCCTTTGTCAGTATTGATCATTGACGTCAAATGGGAAACAATGAAGCAGAAAAGTAGTGGGTGGACAAATGTCAAGGAGTCGTACGAAATTTGCTCGGTGCCGATAAGCCTACGGAAACCGGGATGGGATTAACAAAGGGGTGTGTCATTTGTTAAAGCTGAGCTGGTGAAAGTGAGCGAGTGACGTGAATGGAGTGAGAGCGTGAAAGTGGCAGCTCTGGAGTGGGTTGTGTGGGGGGGATGGGTCGTCATAATCGAGAGGGAGCTATACAAATATCAAATTAATTGACACCACCGCCACCGCCATCGCACAACAGGAGACTCACTCCGGGCGTGAGACTGACATTGGGCATTATTACGTTTGAACGACTTTCTTTCCGGCTCTGATGTGATGTTCGACTCAAGTTGGGATGGAGAGAATTTATCTGTGCAGATTTAAATGTGGGGAAAGATGGAAACATAAATGGAAACGTGTCACGTCAAGATTTCAATAAATGATTTCATGGAATGTGATGTAAGAATCGATCAAGTTGCATAAATGATTGGTTGGCGAGAAGTATGGCCAAAAATATTTTGGAAAATATGCCGAACGACGGAGAAGAAGATGAAAATATTGGTTATTCACACTTTGAGAATATGTTTGCATTACGTCGTCATCGTATTTGACCTTTCGATGTAAGATTCGACTTGGGAACTGCACCCCGAGAAGAAATCAGTGTGTCGAATTCTGTGGTAATCGACAATAGCTGGATGAATATTGTATTGCGTAATTTTTTTTTTTACATAATTCTGCACAAAATTTCTAGCTTTTGTATTCTGCAGAACGGTATGGACATAATTCTCCATACTTTTGTGTAAAAATTGCTTTGCAGACAGTTTTTCTGGAGAAAATCGGGCCAAATTTCTGCAGGATGTTTTAGCTTCTGCAATTCTAGGTTTTATTTATCTGTTTTCACGATATTTATATAATCATTCTAATCGAAGGGCGACACTACACAATAAATTAGGCAGAAGTGGTGATGGTGATGGTGAGGGGTCGAGGTCGAGGTCGGTACAAATCAACTCTAATAAAGTGTTAGTATGATCCCTGGGTCCCTGGGTCCGTCTTCGTAATGCAAGTTGCCCCATAGAGGAGACAAAGAAGGAAGCGGACCACTGCATGCATGCACTATACTGCATGAATGAATGCATGCATGAACATGTACATACTGCTACCCCACATACATACATCACTCATCAATGGTGGTTATCATGATAAGTGATCGTGATAAACACTATTAATTAATTATTTTAGTTTGAGAAACTCCACCCACAGCGAGTGGCATATCAATTCGAATGTATTTTTGACGGTGAATCCAACGCCAATGGTTTCAACCTGCGAGACCCCCGTGACCTTGCCGTGACCGTGGTGTCCAAATATGGCTTATTAGTGATGTCGCACATCAATTCGAATGTATTTTTGACGCTGAATCCGAATCCGTCAATAGCTTGGCGTTAATTGTAGAAGTTAACGGGGTTTATGGAACTTAACGGGAGCGTGGGAATTTAAATAGTTAGCTATGCAGTTACTCCCACGCGACGGGAATTTAAGTAATTAGCTATTCAACTACTCCCACAGAGGGAAATCAAATTGTACTGTGACCAGATTAATTAAAATGCAGTATGACTTGGGCAAACCCTCACTCTGATGTATGTATGTGGTATGACAAAGTCTCCACTGGGAATTATTTAAAGTATAGTATGACGGATTTTTCGCTTTGGGCACACCCCCCACTGGAACTCTAGAACCCGGCCTTGGCCGGGCTATACGCTAGTAATAAATATTTCTCCACAATAAGGAAGATGATGAGGATGAAGGAGGGTCTGCATAATGGGGATTAGATTGGATTCTCTCGTGGCTGTCATTTCAGTTCATAATTTATTATCCTGACAAGATAAATGAGGAGGGAAGGAAACGATGATCCGATGATGGGATGCATTGGACGAGACAAATACTTATTTGTAATTCAGAAATCTGTATTATTTGGCCAAGAGACAATTCTTCTCGTCATTTGTTGCCTAATTGGCTCATAAATTGGCTGATTGACGTGGCCACGAGAGATGATGAGTGAAGTGATGATTGAAATAAATATGATGGGAAGTATGACAGATCAAGTGGAAGGGTGCCCCATCATTACCTACATATTTACATGTTTTGTTTGTTGATCTCGAATTGGGTGACAGTTTCTGGACTGTAATGACACAAAGCAATTATGTATTTCATAAAAATGTATTTTGCAGAGTGGTCGAAATAAGAATCCGTGTTTTTCAATTTTTTTCCATAATTCAAGCACGAATTTCATAAAAATATAAAATATTATGCATTTTGTAGATTCTTCGTATAAATAAATAAGCAAACAAATTCAGATTTAATTTCTTTTCATAATTCAATCCAGGCATGACTTTTTTTATACTTTTATTAAAAATTAAGTACTTCCGCTGTCTTAAATCTTAAACATTAAGTACAAGTTGTATGTATAGCTATAGAGTGATGTGTTAGTATTCATGGTTGTTATATTTAACATTATGTAGTGGATAGCTTATTTTATTCGGCATAAAGCTAAATAGATTAAATTTTACCATTCAAGAAATAAACGAATAAAGAAAAAGATTTATAAGTTCGTGTCGAATTTCATTTTTATGTCGAAAAGGTTACATATCAATACTAACGAATGGATGAAGTTGTTCACCGGAATTGTAATAAAGAAAAGATTGGAAATTTTCCAGGAGAGAAAGCATGAAAATTTATACTTGTTAGAAATACTGACAATGGATGTTTCCCAGCGTCTACTCTCCGATTTTGAGCAAATTAGTGTCAATCGATCACAAATTTGATTAATATGAAATTTGCAAAAGGTAAGATCGTATCGTTTAGCGACGATATTTGCACCCGAAGAGGAGAAACCGCACCTTAAAATTTTCCAATTCATTGCACGTTTTCGGATGAAAATATCTCTGGCAAACTTCGCCATTGGGCGATCTTGTCTTTTGCAAATTTCATACTAATCAAATTTGTTATCGATTAACCCTAATTTGCTCAAACTCGGAGAGCATATGCTGGGTAACCTCCATTGTTTCTTAATTAACCTATAGACTTATACTACCGTAATTTTACCGTATTTATTGTTATTTCTACTACCTGAAAAGAATGACAGATTACTTTAAACTTGCCTACTTAAAGTTATCATCATATACTTAAACCTAATTAATTAGATTGCACCAACGTTTTTTAGATTATGTCATCCTACCTTTACACATGTATGCAACTGCTCCATATTTATTGGAGAAGTGGCAACTTAGAAAGAAATGAACCATGCGACGCAATATGGTTTTGGTGATGATGTAATGTAAAATATGGATTGAACAGGGTCGGACTAACGCTAGCATGCTGCTGCTGGTGATGATGATGATGACCTCCTCCCAAACTGGGAGGAATACTACTACTCCCATTCGACGTCGTGCTCGACCCAGCTGGTGACGCACCCGCAAAACTTATCGGTTGACCTCCTTGACCTTGACCGACCTTGGAACCTGGTGGGATGACCCGACTTCCTCCCCCGTCAAGATGCTGCAACTTTTGTTGTGGGGAAAGCAGCAAACATTCCTCTTCCTCCTCTTCCTCCTCCTCCTCCTCGCCCATCTCAATGTCCACCATCTCGTCCCTCTCATGTCGAGAGTGTTGTCGCAGGTGTCTCAGGTGACGGAGGTGGTGCCGATTGTAATTATTATTCAATAGCCCCGCCGCCGAAATATTATTATTCCCAACGCCGACGCCCCCACCCAACTCGTGCAACTTTCTCATGTGCTTCTTCAAGTCGAAATTCCTACAAAACCCTTTCCCACACGTTTTGCAGGTGAAGGGCTTCTTGTCGTTGTGCGTGTGCATGTGAAAGGTCAAGTTGTAGATTTGGTGGAACGCTTTATTACAGATGACACACTTGAACGCCTTTTCCCCGCTGTGGGTCAACTTGTGATTCTTATAGTTTCCCTTTTGGTGGAAACCTTTCCCGCAGTATTCGCAAACGAAGGGTTTGTAGCCGTCGTGAATGCGGATGTGCGTGTTCAGGGTGGACGAGCGGTTGAACGCTTTGCCACAGGTGCCACACTTGTGCGGTTTTTCGGAAGTGTGGATAATCTTGTGGCGACAAAGGGTCGACGCTTGGCGAAACCCTTTCCCACAAACTTTGCAGATGAAGGGTCTCGCCCCCGTGTGGACGGGCATGTGTCGCGTCAAGTTGTAGTGGGCGTTGAACACTTTGCCGCACTGGAGACAGGTGAAGGACTTGTTGATACCGGTTTTTGAGGAGGGGTCGAGCGTCTGCGGGGGATGGGGCGAGCCTGACAGGGAGTCCATCTCGGAGCTGGGGGAGTCCTTGGAGGGGGGTGGACTTCGGAGGAGGGGCGTCGTCGTGGTGGTGGACTTTGGTGAGGTCAGGTCGATCGAGCTTGTCGGGGAGGAGAGGAGAAGGAGGACGTTGTTGTTATGTTCTGAGGTTGGGGGGGAAATTCGGGCCTTCTTTCCGGCAGATTCTTTCCCGGGTGAGGAGGAGGACGATGACCCACGGAGACTTCCGCGACGGGTAGTGTTACTCGTTTTGTTGGGGAGGAGAGTGTTGTTACTAGTCGCCCCAGTACCGCTTTTCCCGTGATTATGGTGGTGGTGGTGATGATGATGATTATTGGGATGACTGGGTGGGTTTAGAATCTGGTGAAAGTACCCCCTTCCCGTGGCGAGATGTTGCTGCAAACGTGGCGTCGGTGAAAGGATCGGGCTGACGTGATTATTCTTCGCCGCCGCCGCAACACACGCCGCGTACAACCCGGGGGAAAAGTGTGCAGGGGGAAGAACGACCGGATGAGGCGGCGGGGGTGGCGGAGGAGGAGGAACCGTCGTGTTATTGCTATTGTTACTATAATGAGCGGGATAGTAGAGGAACGGGTATTGCCGGAAGAGGTCAGAGTTCATCATGCGTTCCGTGTACTCGCAAAAGTTACTCACGTCGGAAATTGATTGAGGAGCATATTTCCGAAATGCGGACGAGTCCAGTTTTTCGTCACTGCCAATTTGATGCTGACTGGTCGCGAGGGCGGCCAGGTTAAAGAATCTGGAATTCGATTGGAGCTGCTGTAACCCCGACACGGGTGAAGACGAGGGCGAAGACGAGGACAAATTGTCTCCCTGTTTTTGACCAATAATTCGACTCACTCGACCACCACCACTGCCGACTAAAGTGCTATTATTGCTGCTCCCCTTCGGCTTGCAGGGTTCCATTATCTTTGCGATGGAAAAGGCGAGAATTGAATTTCTTTGCGTGCTGGTGGCCAAACTGGGTTTGACGTTGGGTTTCTTGTCACATATTAATCTTTCCTCGGTGGCATTAGTGTCGTCTTCCATCTTGTTGGATAACTTGACTTTCACGTCGTGATGAGGAGGGTGATGATTGTCCTCGTCGTTGTCGGACGACGGGTTGATGGTGCAATTTGTCGGCTGCATGATTCCAGAGCTGAAAGAGAGAAAGGAAACAAGAATTATGTATAATTCGACGTATAATTTGACGATGTACAATTCGTCGCAAAGTTTCGAATGGTCATTTCCTCTTTTCATGCCATGCCACGCCATAGAATAAAATTACCATTAGAAGATAATTACCAGAGAGAAGGCAAAGTCGGTATAATTATGCTGAGCATTTGGCCAGTCTCTCCAAAGTTTGTTGGACCAAGTGAACTATTTGCGTGGCATCCAGTGTTTCGGGTCAGGGTGCAAGTAACCACTTGCAAGAAAGTGGTTTCTTGCAGCTAAATATTTTGACCTGCAAGAAATCCAAGGCGCAAGAAACTACGCCCAGCAGCGCATATTTCATACGGGGCGTGGTTGGATGGCGCATATTTCTTGCAGTTTCTTGCACCTCGCATTTCTTGCATTTCTCACTTTGCATCCTGTGCAAGAAATGTATCAAACCCTTAAGAAACGCAACACTGCTTGCCCGACACAAGTCGCAATCATCTCATCTTTCCCATCACCACTGCGAACGTGGCCTCTTCCACCACTTCCATCAGGATGATATAATAGCTCGTGAACAGGATAGGGAAAGCAAATAGGCAGCCACGTCGTGAAAGTGAAGTGCAGTGCATCGCATATTTGGATTGGATTGGAAATTGGCATGCCATATAAAAAGGAGTTTAAGTAAACATGATGGTAAAGCGTTCCTCTCTCCGAATTCAGACCTCGTCGCACGTAATACCCGGGCAGGCAGGCAGGCGAGCCTTGTTTGTTTGTGTACACAACAGGGTCTCCTCCCGGTCTCTGAGGGATCCTTCCAATTAATGCTATGAATGAAGTACCGAGAAAGCTAGAAACCTTCCCTCGCCCAAATTTGTGTGCATACATACATACGTAACACACCGCCAGTCATCATATTTATCATCATCAAACGATATCAGGATGAGTGTGCAGCAGATCAAATTCAACCCAGTCGTAGTAAACCTTGTCCTCTCCTACATACGATTTCCGTCCAATTTCCGTCTCATTTTAATTGATGTGTTCATTCACCACTTCACTCCACTTTTGATCCAGACAGTGTGCACAGTGGCTCCGGAAACGTGGGTGGGGACAGAGGGGTAATGTCCCCACCATCCCCCATGTTAGATAAACCCCGCCCTCCCCTATCCCACAATGGTAATGTCCCCACATGTCCCCACAGCTTCCGCGGCCACTGAGTATGGAGGACGTATTATTATTCGAGAATAAACACCCTCTCCTCTGCCTGATAAAATGCAGCCTTAGGTTCCGTGTCGAATTTCCAACAACTGCTTTTTTTATCGGTTTGCTTTCCATTTCCGGACGCAATTATATCGTCTCTTCACTTCATCTCCGCTTATGTCATCATCACGACGCTTTTTTCGTCCTGACTGACTGACTGACTGCGGTGTAACATGACATGTATAATTTACACATGTCCGTGGCGTGCCATCGATCCGGAGAAAGTAAGCAAACCAATTATTTATTCGGGGAAATGTGAGCCGGCCGTGAAAAAAAGGTGAGTGAAAAGTGAGTCGTATTTATTTTTACGCAGCAATGAAATGGCAGAATTCGTCTCACTTTTCAACGAGACTTAAATAAATTTGGTAAACTTGTCTTTTTCGTCGTATCCATCCACTTGGACTCTCGACATTATTTATTTAAACCGGAAGACAAGAAGTGGTCTAGGCATTTGTACAACATTGCTCCACATTCACTTTTGTCTGTTCTCTTCTTTCTCTCCGTGTTTGTCAAAAGTTGTCGAGTCTCGAGTGGAGGAGGAGGAGAAAGGCCCAAGGGACTTGTTCATCTATACTTGTTCTTATGTTCTCTTTGGTCCATTCCCGTCTCCTTGTCTTATCTTTTATTTAGCATTCTTAAAGAAAACGGAGAAAGGGCAAGGCCAGTGTTTCGTTTTGGAGGTTCAAAAGCGTCTAAAACTGTGTATAATATGTAATTTTAGACGTGAAAAATGTCCAAAATAGGAAAATGGGGCAAAATGTTACAAGTTTTATAATTATTTTTTTTTGCAAATCAATGCACGATATATAATGTTTGGTTAATTTTGAGCATTTTGGTTGGTGTGGAATATGTACGACGAAATTTGGAAAAACTTTTGTTTTCACATATCTTGTTATGAGAAATTAAGACATTTTCTTTGCTGTTTCGTATTACACAGCAAAATGCTCAAAATTAATGGGAGATTACACATCTGGGCATAGATTTACAAAAAATAGTTAATAAAGAACTTGTAACATTTTGCCCCATTTTCTATTTTGCACACTTTTGGACATCTTGGACGTCCAAAACTGGTTACCGTCTTGGACGGCTGTTTTGGACACCGGTTAAAACCACATCGAAACCCTGGGCAAGGCACGTAGAAATGGTGGTTTCGTTCCAGAGAGAAAGTGTATGCTCATTAGGAGGGTAAAAGTTCCAAAAAACGAGACAGGTTGAAAAAATCGGTATCGTCTCAAGTGGCTTTCTCTCTTTCAATCTTTTTATCTTTTTTTCAGTGTTACTTTACTTGCGAGATGCAAACTAGCCACGGAATAGTAAGTGCCCACTCCACTTGGCGTTTTTTGTTGGCTGGCTCGTTATAAATTATTTTTTGACTAAATAACTAACATCATCGTCGTCGTGGCTCAAAAAAGTACGCGTATCTCATCTCATTCCCACCACGGAGAAGGAGGAGATGAAGTACCTTTCTCCCAACTCCTTGGGCAGTGTTGGTTTAGGTTTCGGTTTGTTTGTTGGATTCCGTTTCGGCGGCGAAAGGAAGACGACGACGACGACGTAACATGAAATAATGGCAACAACTCCCCCGACAGATGAAAGCAGGGAACAAAGGCCATCCCACAGGCCATCCGCATCTAATCCGCCTCCTTTCTCCGAAAATCAGTGTTTCGTTTCTTACAGGTTTGCTACATTTTTTGCACTGCAAAGCAAGAAAAACAAGAAATGTGAGGTGCAAGAAACTACAAAAAATATGCGCCATTCAGCCCCATGAAGTAGTTTGCGCCTTGCATTTCTTGTAGGTCAAAATAGCCGCAAGAAACCACTTTCTTGCCGTTATTTCTTGCAAGTGGTTCCTCGAAACACTGTCGAGAATAAGCCTTTCTCTCCTACTTTCACCCATCGGCGTCGTCGTACTACGTAATGACACCGTGGTACACTTGACTTGTGAGGAGTGTAGTGTTTGTTGTGTCTGGTCTGGTTATTGGACAAAGAAGGCGATGAGGAGTGACAACTTGATAGAATGTCATTTGATCCAGTCCACTTGAAACCACGAAAGACAAGGAAACCAGACCAAACTGCCGGCTGTGCGTTATTTCGTATTGTTGTCTCATCTCATGCCATGCCACGCACAATGCCAACTTTCTCTCTCTCAACTCTGCTAAATAATTCAACCCAACCGACGAGAAGAAGAAGGTTTGAGATGACGATGATCCATGCACCAACGCAACGCAACGATCTATTCAACTTGTTAATTGGCATTGTTCTCCGCGACACTAGGACGACGAGGACGAGTCTTAAAATCGGAGTGACTTGATGATGTGGTCGGATTTCATTTCATGGCAAAATTAGAGACAATCATGGCGTGGCTTGGAGTTTGAGCCACTTTTTGCCCTCTTCTAAATCACGGTTGTCTTTTCTTTGCTTAATTGTTGCCTAATTAACTTGTTAAATGGAAGGTTGAAAAGAAAGCAATCATTTTTTTAAAATGGAGGGGAAAACTATTTTTCATGTTGTACACGTGACACATGTCAAGAATTATTTGCATCTTTTTTTAAAGAACCAGCTTGCTTTTTTTAAAAAAGTATGAACTGGACTTTTGCCTGGACATTCACACCCATCCTTTCGCCAATTTACACATTTGTCTCACAAAGACTGCTAATTAATTTCTCCGAGTCACGAATCTCTTGAAAAAGGCGAAAATATGGCGAAAACCTGCATTATTCAGAATAAATACGTGTGAACAAAGTGATACAGAAAAACCTGACGATTGAATTAGTTGATACATATGCATTTTAGTCAGTTTAGGGTCTCGTATGCATTATAAAGAAAAGCCAACGATATGCGTGGTTCCACCATTAAACGCATTTTACGAAATTGAACAGGGGTTAATAAATCATTCCCAGGATTAAATATCTACACCCGGCCTGATAACTTTACTTTGCTTGCATCACGTCACTTTATCTTTATCCAACCTCCTGTCATGCTCCTGTCATGTCGAACAATAGAAAAAATCCGACAGTCTGAAGTAAAACTTCATCCCTGCGTAACCACCACCAACCAACCAACCAACTGGATACAACAAACAACAAACAATGCATAAGCCCTTACCCAACCAAAGAAGTCAACCATATTTCCATCCCACCAACCCAACCGACACAGATTTATTTTATCCAGGCCACAAAAATGGCTCCGCACATGAAATAAAATAAAACTATAAATTTATCAAATTAAATGATTCCCTGATTCTCAGAATGGGCTGACATTTTAAAAATTTACTGCAATTCACTCCACTCCCCCCACTTTTACTTATGCGCACGTACCTGCTAACAAGTAGGACATGGAATGAGTCCTCGAAACCAAAATTTTACGACTTTTTTCTAAAATGTTTATAACAGTAAACAAAACAAGGCAAACGATGGTGTGGTTGATGCACACGTTCAACGCGACTTACCAATTTACAACAAAGTAAAGTAAGCAATTATGTATGTGTGCACATTTAAAATTTGCATTAAGGTAAAAATATTCATGGTTAATCGACATTTTGCAGAAATTTATCCCTCCGTCTCAAATTGGAGTTGCGTCTCAATTATCGTGACCATTGCACCTGTTTGATTACAACAAAGTAACCAAAAGTAATTATGACCAGGATATTTAAAATTTGCATTATTTTCAATAAGGTAAAAATATTAAATACTCAATCGACATTTCCGAAGAAATTTGTCCCTCTCAATTTGGAGTTTCGTCTCAATTATCGTGACCATTGCAGCTGTTTGATGTAAATTTCGTCACAGATAATACGGAGACATAGTGTTTCTCTTGTAACAATAATAATTTCATCCCACTTTACGACCTGCCCCTGGTACGTAAAGGGTGCCTTGTTTGTGCATAATAATAATAATGCAGCCTTCTTTAAATCGTTGAAGCAACTGCCACCGTGTCGATGCCGTAATAAAAAACTTAATATTTTGTCTGCCTAACATCTCATTTCGTAAATGTCTTCTTCTCCTCCATCTCGATTCCTGATTGATTTGATGATTTCATTTCTCACCATTTGTTCCCAACCACCCAGGAACTTGACCAGTTGTGAAAAAGTAATATGCAGGATAACCTTTCCCCGTCATGGAGTGGCAATGAGCAGCAGCGTGAAGTAAGTCCGTCAATGCCTGGACTTTTTATGACCCTCGTTTACCACCATGTTTTATTATTTGCATAATGTGTGCATACCATTCCTGCCATGCCATCGCGTATCCTTTTAATCACAGCGAAAGGAATTTGTGCTGTTGAAACCTTGAAAGTAAATAACCGCCGACCAATAAATTGGAACATCAACAACAATTTATATCTTATCCACCCTTGAGTAAGTAGTGAAATTGTGGTGTAAAGGTCGCATCAAAATACTTACAAAGTTTACGACAATGTTCTCTACGACGTAATAATTATTTGTGTTCTTTGTTTCAATATGCATCAATTTGAGAATAACATGTACATACGTATCTACATACATATGTGTAATCCGTCCCTTCCGTGTGTGTATAATAATTTTCCGTAAGGTTTAATGTTAACAAGAGTAAAAAAGAGTACACATTTGCGGATAAAATTATCACGGCGGGATGATGATGATGTAATTGTCTAAAGTGTAATTGAGTAACGTGGGACCCTGGCAAGTACATCAGGTAGTTATGGATGTATCTATTTGACTGTTTGTGTAGTGACACAAAAAACGAAATGACTTTATTTGACGTATAATTAACAAACGTCAAGTTATCAATTTTTAACTGCCTCTCGTTTTTAAAGCCGAAAGCATAACTAATTGGCTTGAACAATATTGAACAATGAATATTTTACGTATCTACGAGCACATATCCAATTTGTGGTATTTATGGCGTACAAGAGATTTAAATTGCTACTCAAACTAATGAAATGAAACGAAACGAAACAATGTTTGGATTGGACAGCGAAAATCCAAATTTGTCCCCGACGACTAGAGATTTGTCCACTATAAATCTAAAACTATTACTGTGGGTATTTTTTTTTAGAAAATTTTCCTTATAGATTTTCTTCCCTCCCACAAATTTGGAATTTGCCATAAATCAAAATCCTGTAAATCATTGCTGTGAATGAGGAACTCATCCAATGGGAGAATTCTACTTTGTTTTAGTTTATGAATAATTATCCTATTGCAGAAATCGTATTGCAACAAGGAAAGTTGTCTAGTGATGAATGCACGTATGTAGAAGAGGTTTTATTTTATGTGTAGCTCTTGGTAAGTGTCTTCTTACATCGTAAAAACCAAAAGACGACTTAAAGTTGTAAAAGTTGAGAGTTTAGGTCCGTTGTGGATCTTGGGATGCATTTTCAGCCAACGTATACGGTAAAATTGGCAGTGTTTCGTTTCCTACGGGTTGGATACGTTTCTTGCAGTGCGAAATAAGAAATATGAGGTGCAAGAAACTGTAAGAAAATGCAAGAAATATGCGTCATTTAGCCATGCGCCGTACGAAGTATAGCGACGGGACGTAAATTCTAGCGCCTTGGATTTCTTGCAGGTCAAAATAGCTGCAAAAAACCACTTTTGTGCCGTTATTTTTTGCTTGCGGGTGTGATATATTTCTTGAAGTGCATACCAAGAAACGCAAAAAATGCGAGGTGCATGAAATCTGCAAGAAATGTGCGCAACGCGTCCTATAAAGAATCGCTTAGGGGCGTAGTTTTTTTCGCCTTGCATTTCTTGCAGGTCAAACTAATTCCCTCCAAGAAACCACTTTCTTGCCGTCATTTCTTGCAAGTGGTCACCTGCACCCGAAGAGAAACACTGGATGCAAGTCAAAGGGTTTTGCAGCAGAATGGGTCACTCTAACTACGGACAGAATAAAAATTATGCTTTAAAAAATGCAGCACTTTTATTAAGTAACGCAACAAAAGTAATATTGACACGGGGCAATAAAAATGGTGAAAATAACCATAAAAAGTGAAACATTGTGCCAAAAACTACAACGTACACATAATTATTATTCAATATTGTATTTTGTTTCAACTTTTGTGTTATCACAGACAATTTGACGACAACTTCTGGACTTGAGATAGGTTTTGCATAATATGAATTTTCGTCTCAACAAAAAGGTCACGGTTTGGGTCAGATTTTTATAGAATTTTTTTACGAGAAGGGAAAGAAACACAAAGTATGCAGTGGGTTTAATAATAATGAAAATATTTTATTTTTACCCGCATCGAATAGTGGATTGAATTATGCGAATGTGGAATATTTTTTTCTCGGTGTGCATTTATTTCATATTCCCAAAAAATGTTTAAGTGATCAAATCATCGAATACTAGGTAAAGGTCATTCGATGACGATTGCTGAGGAATAAAACTCATGTATGACAAAGATTAAACACATATTGTGTGTCCTGACACTATTTGCTGTCTAATTATTACTTCAAGATTTGTTACTAGATCATAATGTGAGAAGTATTAATAAAAACAAGTGTTATGATGACTAGTCGGCATAAAAGATTCACTTTTAACGACCAAAATGCCATTAATTATTTGACTTGGAGGTATATTCGTGGTGGTGGCGTGACATGCCAGTCAGCCAAGATAAGTGCTCTCCCATTACATAAATAAATATGCACGATCCACACCCACCCCGTCCGATTCGATTGATATGTGTTTTATTTTATCACGTCTCTTTGACAGACGGAGAATGAAATGAACTGCAACTGCATTTTGGCAATCTGTGTGTCGTTGCACTTTGCTGGATAAAAAGAGTAACCGACCAACGTTGCTAAATAACGAGACCCTGTCATTTCGAAGAGCCACAAAATGTGGTACTTCACTTCTCTGCTTTATTCTTCTTATGTAACACATTATCATTCATTCATGACCATTATTATGACACCAAAACTGAAGCAAGCATTCCACACGTGTCCCTTTTATGAGAGAACAAGAAGAAAACGACGCGTGTCCCTCTCTCAAAAGAACGGATGACAACTTCCGGTTCGATCCTTAAGTTGTTCAGATTTGAGATGCATTTAATCCAAAAGTGGACATGTGTGTGGATTGAATATAAAAAGCAATACATGACGCACACGCCCACTCGCTTTGTTTCGTTCTCTTTACTAAAAGGCAAAACTGATTGTATTTACTGCCCGGGAGAGAAAAAGAAAGGGATTCCTGCACGTGTCCGGATGAAATTTGAGACTTGATCGTTACGTAAAAATTTAAGACGTGTGCAGATGTCACGAATAAAAATAGAGGAGACTGGATTGATTTTATGTCAACTTTTAGTCCCACTTAGCCCCGAATCCTAGATATCACAGGATTTCGACCATGCGTAAATAATTAATGAGTAATTCAAGTGTTTACCTTATCTTTCCTTTCTCCGCTTTTTTCTAACGAGGGACGACGACACGAAATCCTCGCCGTGGAGAAAACGCTTCAGTTTTTTGCGGTACACGTCCGTCCGTCGTCACAAAGTCACTCTCACCACCACGGAACAAATAACGGACGAGACGACACGGGAAACAATGGAAACGACCCCTGCAGTCCGGTTGACTTGAGAAAAGGGTTGGATTTTCGGAGTAATTATACTCAAAAGTCAGTCAATAATGAACTCGCGTGTGCATTGGTGCAAGTGGGCACTCGTGTTCATGGTCCAGTACCAAATTATTATTAAAACTGGTGTAATTCTTCATGGCATAATAATTTGGAAAAAATCGAACCACTGAGCATGATTTTTTTCCAGCAGACAAACTTTCTCCAGAAGAAAAAAAGCAAATTGGATGAATCGTGTCTGCCGGACTGAAATGTCTCACACGAAGGAAAGTCAAGTCTCAGATTTACTTATTCCCTGCTTCCACTTCCACCTCAATCTCAACACTGATCAAGAAATGAAAGGCTTCTCCTTTGTCGTCGTCGTCGATTTGGTAATGATGACGAATGTGCATGTGTGTGTGCATGTGGAGTGGGTTTGTGTGTGTTTAAATGGCTTTATTGAGATTGACTCCCGTTGGCGACTTATCCAATCCACGTCCAAGTGTCAACTAAGCCGTGGATAACGTCTTTCGGATCACTCCTTGTACTTACTGATTTCACATGCTGACTAATAACTCACTCACTCACTTGATCTCTTCTTCTTCTCCTAATTGTTGCGGCAGGAGCGAGCAGGAGCACCCACGACAAGACGAAGCTAAGCTGTTATGCATAATAATACCCAGCCAGCCATGTATCACGACGACGAGGTACATATATGAAAAAGTGGCCAGTTTTCACCTCCGCTCAGTCTTCGGCCACCTTCTGGCTCACCTTCTCGTCCTTTTGCAGGGTCGGATTGGGCCCCGTGTGAGAAAAGGCGGTGCGGAAAAGGGCCCCCATCCATCCATCCATCCATGTTCATCTCTTAATGAGACGGGAAGGGGCAAACGCTACTGCGCTGCTTGCTGCCTGCTCCAGCCTCCACGGGTCGGGTTAGTCCACTAACCGACGCCCTCTTGTTCTTTTCCCGAGTGGAAACCAATCCATCCCGTCCTCCGTTCCCTTTGTCTACGACCCGGGTAGCCAAAAGTAAGTGAGCTCCTGCTACACTACTACTCCTACCCGAAAATACGGACACTGCGGGAGAGAGAAACTCCTCCGACCGAAAAAATGGATGGGATTAATTTACATCATGTATCACACTGCAGGATGTAAACGTACGGTTGGATGGTCGCAAACGGTCAAAAAATCGGGACATGGATTTCATTTCAAATCAAAAAGCCATCCAATCTGGAAAAGAAAGTCATTCTTTTTTTCCCTGAACAACAAAGAAGATGGTCTCGTCGATGCGATTCGGGATCAGAGAGAGACAACCCCTGCTGATGCTACTACTACTACTCCGTGGCGTTTAGCAGACTGGATTTTTTTCCGTCGGACGGACGGGTGGCCCGGCTTGGGATTTCAATTCATGAAACCTTTGTCCATTTCACGGCAAACAATGGCACATGAGAGAGAGTTAGTCGGGCAGAATGAAAAACTGCTGCTGCTGCTGCCCCGACTCCTCCCCCGGACTCCCTGCATGCTCATTATGTCCGCGGAATGACGACACCACCGTCTAGTGCAGACCACAAAACGGATGTCACTGCAGAGGTCTAGGTAAAAGTGGTGAAATTCATGAGCACAAAACCCACCATGAGACGAGGGAGTCGGTGGGGGCTCTATTATTTCTGGATGCTGAATCGATTCCTCACCCCCAATAAATAAATTCAAATCTGGGATAAAAAATGGACGGGTTTAGTTATTCACTTTCTCATTGAGTGAGTGAGGAGAGAGGAGCACGGTCAACGGAGGATATCTGTTCAATGGGGCTTGAATCGATGGGATTATCGGGGAGATTTTGCATAATGATTTTTGTGACCGCATCAAATATTGGAAATTAAGCTATCTCACAGTGGAGGTCTCCCAATGCATGCGAGCAGGTTTTGAGCAAATTAGTGTCAATCGATCACAAGTTTAATTAGTGCGAAATTTGCGAAAGACAACATTTCCAAATGGACACGTTTCGCGGAGATATTTGCATCTACTTAAGCAGGAGAAAACGTTGACAAGTTTTGCACTTTCCAAATTTACTGCGTATTTTCTCCTTTTCGGGTGCAAATATCTCTCCCAAACCTGCGCATTGAAAGATCGCATCTTTTGCAAATTTCATACTAATCAAATTTGCGATCGGTTTATGCTATGGTTTGCCCAAAATCATGTCACATACGCTGGGAAACCTCAATTGTTAGGAGGAAAAAGTTGAAAAACAAATAACTCGCAAGTTCAGAGAGTGACGGATGGTCGAATAAATAGTCGAGATTTATATTTGTATTTATAGCACGAGAATTAAGAAGATACATTTTGTCCGTGGTAAAAACTAGGAGAGAAAACTTTCGAAATGTGGGCAAATCAAATAGGAAACATTCATTTAGTTGCCCATGAATGAACTCGTGAACCCAAATGGAATTATGTGCATGTATTTAGGATAAACCCTTCACATTGTGATCATCATCCTCTCATCCAGCCTGCCAACGAGGACCACGTACAATTTAAGTATCAAGGCAAACACAAAAAGTTTTAAAGAGGAGAGACACACACACAAAACAGTCATAATCTTCTGACCTCCTTTCATTCATCATTCCTTCATCCGATCCAATGAATTTATTCGGTAAAAGGAACATGTGTAATCTGCAACAGAAATAAAAATGCACATCAATCATGAAATAGTGCACTTGTGTCGTTCAGTGGTCAATTTTTTGTTTATAGAAGAATTACATTGATTTTCGTACAAAATGTATCGAGTGATACACCATAAAACCCGTATGTAAAGGTGCGTTTATATGTACTTCACTCCTTAGTACCTTGCGCCATAGTTGAATTATAACATGGGCGCAAATTACCAAAGAGAGAATAAATATAAGCCCTTGTCTCAGAGGATACCATCTCAAACTAAATGCTGTAGTAAAGGACGATTTTTTATTTCTTACCAATTAATTAATTAATTGGTTCAATGGCAGTGCAATTATTTAATGCATGTTTAATCGAAATTTTTATGTAAAAAGCCTCAATTGTGCCATAAAAAACTTTGCTATCTTTCTCAAAAATCATTGCTCTGTTTCTACGCTATTTACGTGGAAGGAGAAATAAGGGACAAGGCCTCCCTATCTTATAAAACATACGTCGACTAACCCCCTTAAGGCTAACATTAGGTAATATTCAAATATATGTATTTTCAACTTTGGAGTTACGGTTATGAAGGTTCGCACCAGAGATAAGATTGCCTTCTGGTACTTGTAGAACTAAACGTTCACCTTTTCGTGTGGCATTTTTCGCAAAATATTTTTTCACCAATTTAACTTTGTCTGGAAATGAATTTAGATTTTAATTCAATAAAAATGATTATTTGCATGATTTTGAAGCTTTTATGAATGAATGAAGTGATGGAATTTCATCCAACAAAGTGTGTCAATTTTATCTAATACTTTCCCAATTTTGTTTTCATATTTCAAAACTTCTTCCCCATTCAATTCATCTAATCCAAACAATAAGGGATGCTCATTCATTACCTCCTTCAATCTGAATTTAAGTCATAAAATGCAAATACAGATTCAATGAATGCAAAATGGACAGGGGCACTCAATTTCTAGCTTTTTCATATAACATTCGAATGGATGGAAACTTAAACGTTTCCGGGATTTATTTATTTCATTCATTTTACATTTAACGTAACGTAGATTATGTGCGAAAATATCCCAATTCGAGTCGAGAGACATCAAAAGTTTGCAAAATCTTGTCCATTGTTATTCAACCAAAGGGTTACATTACATATCCTGTAATATTACGTAGGTCCAAAAAACACGTTGTAAAGCAAAACTGCCAAATCTCTCTTTCAGATACACTTTTTACATTCTTTACTTTGATCTTGTTTTGAATCGAGGGTTTATGCATGTCCATTTTTGGTGTCTGTCGGGATAGACGAACATGGATAAATAAATGTGGTCATGCATGTCGTACATACTTGAGCTACATATTTACTATGCTACTTGTCCATAAAATGCTACAGCCTAATCCTACTAGGCAAAACCACTATTCTTCTGAAAACTTGCTTTCCTCCCTAGTAATTTGTACAGTACACACATGTGTATTTATGTATCTAACAACTCAATCGTAACCAAAGTATAATGCATTTTGACAATTGCACACATTTTCCCGTTCCTTCAACCCCAACGATTCAATGACGATACGTAACGTAAGGTAAGGTAAGGCACCTACGGAAAACTGTGTACAAGTACGAGTACAAGTTTTAAATACTTGTGTAGTACGAAGGGTGTAGTAGTAAATATGTGAACGTATGTATGTAGTGAAGAAGGTGAAAAGAAACAACCATTTATTTGACAATAATGTACTGCTCATATCATCATTCCAGGTAATAAGCACAGGGTGGATATGTATTTATGAAAAATTGCTGAAATATTTACGAAATATGTACAAAAACTTAAACATGAGAATTTTCGCAAAATTCGTATTTTTGAATTTAATACTCTGGATTTCTTTCTGATCCAATTTCTTTGAGCAAAAGAAATTCGTCTCACATTGTTGAAATATTTGCAAAATATGTACGAATTTTTGAAAAAAAGCATATGTAAAAGATTTCCCTATTTATCAAATAATAGCGGAAATATATATATGCCTGAAAACCTAGAAATCTGTTCCAATATTGGCAAATATTTTTAAATTTTTACGATGTATACAAGTTAGGGGACACACTGACAAAGTTTAACCATCGGTCGTCATCAAATGAAAAAGTTTGAAATTCTATAACTACATATCCGGCCTCTGATTATTGGGATTCATGTGTTACTTGGTGCTGCGGAGGCGGAAAATCACTCCTGACATATTAGCAGTGAATGGACATGAAATGGATTAAATTTAGTGGACGAGAATGTACATCTGTACCATCATTGCCTACCTAATCCTCTAAGTTTATACCACAAAAAAGAGGCTGGGATCTCAACTGGAATTAAATAAAGACGTCGACATTTTGTTATTGAGTCCTCACTCAGGTCAGCCAGCGAGGCATATCGCACTATTGGGCAGCATGGTTTCTCTGATCTTTTCTTGACTGGAGGAGTTGGGTACATCAAAAAACACAATGAAATCGCACAATGAAAATTCACAACGAATGGTTATTGAGTTGTATCATCGCCCAAATCCAGCAATACAGAGAAATGACGACGAGGATGATGATGTCCGTCGATTCTCGACAGGAACAAGTAAGTCCCTGCCTCCTGGAGAATGGAAATCATAAACTGGCGATGAATGAATGCCGGCAGGGCAGCCGTGGATGGAAGTTTAGTCCTTTTGTTACATAAAACTGACTGGTGGAATTGCTGCCCCTATTCTTTCAAGTATTTAGTAATCATCATGTACTGACTGACACATGTATAACCGAACTGCAAAGTCGTCCTAATAAAGTCTTGTTGAATCTGCTCGTGATGAGCTCTTCAACATGTTACAACATTTTTTTTTCACTTCTATTTACCTGAATTGACGTGAGGGTTATTTGCGTTTTGTTATCCGACTAAGAATGGAGGTCTCCCAGCGTATGAGATCCGGTTTTGGGTAAATTAGTGTTAATCGATTGCAAATTTGATTAGTGTGAAATTTGTGAAAGACACGATCTCTCAATGCGAAAAGATTCGGTGGAAATATTT